CACTTCAGCACACGCATAGACTCTTTCTCTAGTGAAATCGCCCATTTCCCTCCAGGGCTTTCTTTCTCCAGGCAAGAAACCAAGCGCTGGCTTCTTGCGGATACTGTATCGCACCATTTCTCTGGACTGCTCGCCCCGGCCACCCGAGGAAGACCACTGAAGCCCTTCTGCTTGCTCGACGTCAGCAGTTCCAATTCGGAAAAATGCTTCAGCCCTTTACTAGACTCCGGACTGTCGTTCCATTCTTTCCATGCCTTTCCCAGGCTCTTTTCTTTGCTTTCCAGCTGCAAGAGCACCTGAAGTAGGGAGGCATGCATAGATTGCAGCACCGTTTTCCCTTCGCAGTCGTCATTCTCCTGTGGATTGCAAAAGTGAGATTCAATAACGCATTCGCACATTTTGCTTACCACCACGGCGGTAGATTTCGCAGCGGTTCTATGCGGCGCAGATGGATTTTTGGTACTTAGTGACCTGCATAGAAACGGAGTAAGAAACATACTGTTTCGATGAAGTAGAATTTACCTTGACGACAAACGCTGCTGTTGCTGATGGTTTTGTTTCGAGGAAGTCTTGAACGTGCTATCAATGTCCTCTGCCACGAATCCAGGAGGAGGGGACCGCGATTGGTGTGTATCCATGCACACCACTGGAGTATCAGTATCACCATCTTTCCTGTTTGTCGTAAAATATGCTTGGGAGCTCTTGTACGCGGAAGTTTTCTTGGGAGACGAAGCATCCAAAATGGCCTCTTTGATCGGCGTGGCAGGCTGCGAGAACAAGCGCTTCCTCCTGGAACTCAGCGGATCACTGTGGCCAAAACCACCGGAACTGGATCCCGAGGACGACGACGAAGTTGACAAAGACGACGACGAACTCAACGGAGAATCCGGCTGGCTGATGTTGATGTTGTCCTCGTCCGCTCGATTTGGTTCCCCGAATGCTGGACTCTTGGAGAGAGCCCTTGGAGGAAACGGCTTCAAACGCGGTAGAACGATGTTTGATTGCCTGCCAGCTAGAGAGTCCTTTGGGCATTCACTGGGCGCCGAAGAAACGTTGTTGCTTGCGTCGAAGGAGGCCAAGGAGGATGGAAACTCAATGGGTTCTTCCTCGAGGTCCGGAGTGGAAGATCGCTGCTGGAAGTCGAGCCACTATAAACAGAAGAAAACTTGAAAAGTTTCAAGCGCCAAGAAGAAAATCCGCGCCTACCTGGCTCTCCAGCAGCTCAAATCGCTTGGCTATGTCGCTGGAAGACATTTCGTTCATCATGGCGTCGGCGCCAGGAGCAATGCCTTCCATCGATCGTCACAAAGATAGTCCATACACTTTCTTGACCTACATTCTTGCTGCGACAAGGAATCGAGCGCGAGCTTAGTGGCAGCGCGATCCATCCACAGCTCGGCGAGGAACCCCAGCCCGCGCATTTCCCAGCATTCCAGTTTCCATGGTCCGCCAAGTGC